AGGAAAATGATAGGTCCTTGCCAGGGAATACCGGTTTTGGTGAAGGTATTGCAGAAGATAGTAGTAGGCGTTCTAATGGCGGAACGCCTGCAGGAGATTCGTGGGTAGGAGTACTTCATCAGCTCTTACGTACTTCGCAAGAAGAAATGACAGCTGAAATGAGAACAATGCGGGAAAATATGAACGCATTAAGTGCAGTGGTAATTGCATCTCAAACTGTACCCAGTAGCCCTAGGGACTTTGCTTCTATCGGACGCAATCCGACACAAGCCACTTTGAATAACCAACCAAATTTCACCACTAATATTGTCATTAAGCCACAGGATTGGAAGGTATCCTATGACGGCACCGGGAGTGTTTCCGATTTTCTCTTTAAACTAAATACGTTCTGTGAGCACACGCAATGTACAAACGAACAGTTGATGCCAAGTTTCCACCTATTTTTGTCAGGGCGAGCTGAGAAAAGGTATTGGTTGTTCACTAAGCAGAATCCAGATGCGACTTATCACTTCTTGTGCTATTCTATCAGGCGGGAATTCGGCACCTTAAAGAGTGACCATGAGATCATGATGCGAGATCTCAATGCGTCGTCAGAAGGCTAATGAATCGTATGATACATTTCATACAGATATATTAGCCTTGAGCGCTAGACTAAGACATGACCTACGTGACGTTGCTAGGAAAGGTGAACAGATCTTGAAGGAAACCAGAAGCCTAGTACCGAACTATTCAGGACGGCATGTCAATGAAACAATGGCTATCACACCGAGAAGGCAATCGGGGATTCTCGTTCGGCACCCTAGCCCCCGAAGCAGGGAGTACAGGAGGCTGCGGCTCCTAAACCACAAGACAGTTCCATAGTGGGTTTATTGGATTCCGGAGCAAACGTTTCCATTCTTGGAAGTGGGTGAAGAATTCCTAAAAGAAAACAATTTAAAATATCATCCTTTGTGCGCTTTTGTCTACACAGCTGGTGGAAATCAGCAGAAAATACTCGGCTCGATACCTTTACCGGTCACTTTTAAAAACATTACAAGGACTATTCGCTTTTATCTTGTACCGTCATTAATCCAAGAGGCATACCTGGGAGTTGATTTCTGGAAGGCATTTGCGTTAGCTCCCGATATATTTCCAACCGTTTCCTGTTTAGATTTTCCAAATGAAGATGAGCCAAATTTCCTCCAGCTCACACCAGATCAAAAGATAGCATTGCAAGAAGTTGTTCAGGAGTTTCCATCGTTCGAAAAGCTAGGACTAGGTCAAACCAGTTTAGTGACGCACCATATAGACACGGGTGATGCGGTGCCAATTAAAAGCAAGCACTTTCCTCTTTCACCACCCAGGCAGGCAGAAGCCTATAGCGAAATTGAAAGGCTACTCAAAATGGGAGTGATTGAGGAATCGAATTCACCATGGTGTAGTCCAGTGGTACACTGTGCATAGATTCCAGGAAGGTGAACGCGGTCACCAAGAAGGACTCGTATCCATTGCCCCATATTAATGGGTTATTGAGCAGGTTAAAGGATACATACTTTATAAACGGTATTGATTCGAAGGATGCTTTCTTCCAAATCAAATTAACGGAATCGTCTAAGGAAAAGACTGTATTTGCGGTTCCAGGGAAGCCATTGTACCACTTTAAAGTAATGCCCTTTGGCCTGTGCAACGGACCACAAACAATGAGTCGGCTGATGGATAAGGCTATCCCTTCACGATTGCGGGAGAACGTCTTTGTCTACCTGGATGACCTGATGGTGTGCAGCCCAAATTTCGGTATCTCGGGTACTTGATAGGGAATGGTTGTTTGAAAGTAGACCCCGGTAAAATAGAAGCCATAAAGGATTTTCCGATTCCAAAATCTCCTCGTGAGGTTCGCAGGTTTATAGGAATGGCAAATTGGTACAGGTCGTTTATTACCAACTTTGCAGATTTGGCGGGTCCAATGACATAAGCAATAAGCATTTGGAAAGCTTAAAGTTGCACTCTGTTCAGCGCCTGTCCTGGCACAACCAGATTTTACTCAAGAATTCGTGATCCAATGTGATGCGTCCAAAATAGGAGTAGGAGGCGTGTTATTCCAGCTCGATGAGGAAGGAGCAGAGCATCCCATAGCTTTTGTATCGAAGAAGCTTAATAATGCTCAGCGAAATTATACATAGAAGGATTGCCTTTTCGAATAATTACTTGAGTGGCAGGTTGGCAAGATGGTCGCTTCTATTGCAAAGATACAACTTTAGGATGGAGCATCGCAAAGGATCATTGAATGTTGTGCCGGAGACCCTTTCGCGTTTTGACGTGGACGAACTTTTTTCTACCCCACCTCCAGAAATTGACTTGGCATCACCGGAATTTGACGGCGTAGAGTACTCGGAGCTTCGAGAAACAATTAAAAACAATCACGAAGGGCTACCCGATTTACGCATAGTCGAAAACAGAGTTTACAATAGAGTGATGTTTCGAAGAGGTGTGGAAGAGGAGGAGGATTCGCTCTGGCGTTTGTGGTTACCGGAAGGGCTGACGGAGCTCGCAATCAAATGCTCACACGATTCCAATGCTAGCTATCATGGAGGTTGTCAGAAAACTTTAGAGCGCGTTCGGCAGAAATACTTTTGGCCGCAAATGGCAAAGTAGATACGCCTCTATGTAAATTATTACGAAACCTCCAAAACTGTGAAAGCCACAAACCAAGTGTCCTGACCACCTATGGGCAATGCCTTCGTATCCGAGAGGCCAATCCAGCGTCTTTATTGCGATTTCTTAGGACCCTATCCAGGTTCAAAGCGAAGAAACCAGTTTTTGTTTATAGTGCTAGACCATTTTTCCAAATACGTATTTTTGAAGGCGATGCAAAACGCGACGTCGGCAAATGTATTCAGCTTCTTTAGTACAGAGATTTGTCCAGCTTTCGGGGTCCCTCAATTCGTCCATAGTGATAACGGGAAGCAATTCATTTCGAAGGAGATGCAGCAGTTTTTTGAAAACTATGGGGTTGTTCACATTAAGACGGGGTTATACTCACCGCAGGCTAACGCCTCTGAACACGTGAACAGAGAGATTGTTTCGAAAGTAACATATACCCGAAATTCTGTCAGTTTTAAGAAGCGATTACCATACGGCGATTCAGAGCTCGCCATACTTCGCGTTATTTGGACAAAATATGATACAACATGCGTCAGCCTATAGCATACTGGAGAAACTGGGTAGCCTGAGACATGACGAAGTCCCGATTACAAGCAGAGCTGACAAGTTAGCAAAATTCGCGAACACATACGAAAGAACCTTGAGATAGCGCAAGACAGAGCAGCGAACACTAGGGCGGGTCGAAAATCTAATTTTTCTCAAATCCCTTGGTAATAGTGAAAATATATTGTATCATGAAAAAAAATATTAGTCTTTCATTTTAATTGTAAGAGCCCGCGCATCGATCACCAAGTGACCCATAGCACAATAGTCGAATAAGACCAATTCTTGTTGAAAATTCTGGGTTCAGCAAAAAGTTTTGGTGCATATTATTAGATAGTGAATCCGTTAACGCAAAATATAAAGTCAAATATCATTTCTCGCAGCCCTTTAGCTTATCGTTAACCTCAAAGTTATCTTTTTTCAATAAAATGTTAATTGTTCTCTTGATAATTGCACTGGCCTATAGTCAAAATATGTAAAGAACAGCATTAATATTGCTGGCGTGCATTTAGGTCGCTGGTTCTAAATATTCTAATGTTTTTTTAATATTAGCTATAGTTTGCGAATTTTTGCAAATTTAGGAACAATTTCGGTAGCTCTAATAGAAAAGCCATTATTTTCCATCATTGTAGAAAAATTTTATTTATGCAAATGGGTATGGAAACACTGAACAGGCATAACTTCTAGAAACACTAATTAGTTTACTTATGTTTATGCATACTATATAAAAATTGCAAATATAGGAAAATGACCAAAAATTTTGTTCAATATTGTTTTTTTATTTAAAAATAATTGGTTTATAATCTGAACGATTTTCATCATATTACTTCATAAATCAGTAACAGTAAGTCTCGCCTTCAATTTGGTAATTATTATGTACCGATCGATTAACATTTACCAAAGTTGTATCGAAAGACTTAAGTGGATCTCCAGTTTTTTTCTGAATAAATTTCTCTTCAATTGTATAAATAACTTTTAAATGAAAGAACCGGATTGCAGAACAGAATGCCAGGGAGTGACTTTTTTCGTTCAAGCTGAATGCGAAGCAATATCGTCCAATTGGAGAGTCCTCAAAAGGATTTCCCAGGATATGTTAAAGAGTATTGCATTTACTTACAGTCACTTTTTCACATAATGGAATTAACTAAAATATTTATGTATATCTAAACACCTATCGCACGTCACCTACTCTCATATAACGGCAAATTTAGAAACCACGCAAAATATGCTTCTTCGGTGACTAATGATTCCGCACCAATTTTCAAGACTGCATAAATGGACTTAAAATGGGCGTTTATCACCCTAATTATACTATGTTAATGTTTGTACTTATATGCTTGAAACTACTATTAAGTTGTCAAACGATTCCTAATCTTTGACAATACATATTTGCCTTCATTCGCCACGATCTTGAAAACTGAACAAATCGGCGTGACCAAGCCCAAGGTCCTTTTAATATTACATATAAAAACATCCGAAAACATTAAATCGTTTGAAATAAATCTCGTTTCACTTTTTTGTATTTTTCACTTGGTTTCTGAAGTAATGAAGAATTGAAAATTCATAAGTGAAAATTATAGTTGTTGTAAGCTTTAGCTTAATGTCGTAAAAACTTGTAGACTTATTGAAAAATGATAAATGAACGTGAGATACAAAATTTAACAACCTTTAATTTGATATATCGCATTCCATAGATATTATTACAAGCCAAAGTTTCATTTTCAAAATCCATACACTTTGATTCAATTGCGCGGGCTAAAGATATGTTTTAAATTAATCTTTCGCGGCCAATAACAATTGGCTTAGACCTAAGACATCATAATATTACTATTACAATACGGTCAAATGCCTTTATTTTTCCCTCATACAAAATCGACCCAGCCTAGCGAACACGTACAACAAACGTACCCGGGTTGTGAATTAAAGGCATAAATGCTAAATTCTTGCCTAAATATATCAAGTGTCGTGTTCTGCGAAAGGTAGGCAATGCTTTGTACGATTTAGAGGACTTGAATGGCAAACCGATCGGGAAGTTCCATGCATACGACATCCGGCTGTGACACTGTCATCTGTCACGAAGAGCGATCCGAAGTAAAGTGTTTTTTTTTTTTTAATTTAATAATCACGTTTTTTCTCAAACTAAACTTAGCAATAGGGTAAAACCTTGACCGCCCGCAGACTGCCCGGGGTCCAACTTTGCATGGCTTTTCCTCGAAGCTGAGTCATGTTGGGCTGTAACTCGTTTCTGTAACTCTTCCCTACTGATCATTTCTCTGCTGGTAGAGAATATACGTCATTCATTACTATTCCTTAGCAGTAGAGAACAAGGCGGCAAGTTCATATATGAATTCGCCCAGGTAGAGAATCGGAACAGAAACGAGCTACTGGACTAGCGGAGAGGCCGTACTGTGAATACGGACTAAGTTCGGCAATTGGGGGGTGGCTAACTCTAGCCAACGAATGTGAATAGAGTATCTTTTTTTCTCTTACTGTCCTTTTCACTGGGCGCTTTGGCGGTCGGGGACAAACCGCCTAGTACCCTCCCCGAGCATCTATAGTCTTAGGACGTTCACGCGCGCTCCCACCGGGAGTCGCGAACTGCCTGACAATCCCATTAGGATTGTCTTTTAGGAGTTTTGACGAGTTCTCCTTTAAGAAAATGTCTCTTGGGCCGCAAAGCCATAATGAATAGGAAACAAAATAAATATATACACGGTTTTCCCAGCCTGCCCTGTGTTCTTCTTAGCGGTGTTGAAACAGTGGGGGCAGGGTGTTAAGACCGACTAAGTTCGGCACTTTGGGGGGTAGGCTTCTCTGGCCTAATACAATAGAGGACACGCAACACCGGACTTGAATTTTTTTCCCAGAGTTACTCGGTATAATTCTGACTCAAGCATTTCGAAAAAACGCTAACGCAACCCATACTTACAGCTCAATTCTTAGCTGATATCACAATAGAGAGCCCACTCAACTGTGAGGTTTTTCTTGTGATTTCATTATTGAAAAACTCTCTCAAGAAAAAAGCTTTTAAACTTTCCCACTGTGAGGTGAATATTTGTTTGCTGATGACAGGTATCAAACTCACAAAATAAAAATACAAAAAATGGAGCAAACAAACAAAAAGTAAGTAATTTTTAAATTTAAATATATATTTACGAGTTTATTTCTCTTGATCATTTCAATTTTTATGTACAGCAGATACGAAAGGACAACGCAGGAGCAGCTTCAATATTTTGTAAGTTTCTGCAAGCAGCATCCCGAACTGCAAGCAGGGAAAAATAAGCCACATTCGCCGCGCGCTGTGCAGGACTTGTGGCAGAAACTGGCGGAGCACCTGAACGCGATGGGAGGACCAACAAGGGCAGCGTCGAAGTGGAAAGAGGTAACTATAGGATACGCACGTAAATGCAAAATACGGCAGTGCAAGACAAATATATTTCATTAAAATACCAATGGACACCGCCAATTTTTTGATCGTTAATAACTGTTATTGATTGAACGCGTTGCGAAATGAAAAACATGTTGATTTGTTTAGTTTTGCGAGCCAATTTGTGACATTGTTATTCAAAAAAAGAAGGTACGGTTTTAATAAAACATTTTATTTATTTCAGAGTTTATCACACTAGAAGTGCCAGATTCGCTCTCGTGCTCGCAAAGCAAAAGCCCAATTGCAAAGCACTGGGGCGGGCCTCGAACCCCCGATATAACGGAGTTTGATCATTAGGCAATTGAAACATTTGGTACAGCAGCAGTGGATGGATTGCCTGAACTGGGAAATATGGGTTTTGAGGTGATTAACATTTTCATATTTCCACGCTGTATTGATTATTAACTTTCTTGGTTTATTTAAATTAGGAAAGCTCAAGTTTGCAAGATGTGGTGGTGGTTAGTGGCGCTGAGGACAACATTGAATTTTCCTCTGATGTGATAATGACACCACTTTCCATAAACATATCAAATGAGAATTCAAATTTGTCCTCAGGATCGCAGACCCACCTCACTCCGGTATCTCAGCCCGAAAATACACGAAAAATAACATTGGAGGCGGTGTATAATGTTGCTATGGAGGACATGAGGGCACGTCAACAGCGGAATGGGCTTGCAATTGCTCAGCAGGGGGCATTGACTATAGCAATTACAAAATTAACACAAACCTTAGATAGGTTTTGTGAAAATTTGAATAAAACGTAAACGTAAAAACAATTCTGTCAACTTATGTATACGTTTTAGAATTATTCTTGTTTAGTTGTTAATAATTTCTCTAAAATAAAAACATCATTAATTTAAAGATGTAGAAAGAACAATTTTTTGTGTATTGGCTGTAAATTTTACATTTGCAGGTATAAATACATAAGTCGGATTTGAAATTTTTTACTCATCAAATGAGTTCTTACCTGCGAAGTTGTCTATATCCCCGAATCGTGGCAGGATCCTGGAAACTTAGCGTTTACGGATGTGAAAATCAAACGATGGTTGCACACCTGAAAAGGGAAAGAGTTTTATGTTAGTATTTAATGTACCCTAAATTCACATATACACATGAATGTATGTATTCAAATGCAATAATTACTGCTCCGACATTTATGCTGTAATATCCTTTTCTGTTCATGTACAGTGATGTAGGATTTCTGCTGTCCCTTGAAGATGTGAAATTATGCCAATGTGAGTGCAGTCAATAGCCCCAATTGTACCTTTGATTCCATATGCTTGATAAAACTTACAATATAAATAATGTCATTATTTTTACCGTTGGTATATACCGTGTACCACTAAAGTGGTAGTACAGGGAACTTTTCGCAAAGTATGCAAAGTTTTTTTTCTAATTTTTCCCCCTATTTTTATATAAAGATGTAGTTTATAATAAAACAAAAAGCATAAAAATAAAATTTTAAAACTTTATGTAAAACTCATAAAAATTCAGTAAATTTGGAACAAATTTGCAACTTTAAATTCGATTTTTTAGTATGCAGGTTTGTAGCCCATTAAATTTTAGTAATAGTAAACTGAAAGTTTCAATTTACTAAAAACCGCGTTGATTTTTGCCAATTATAAAGAAATTTTCGAACATACTTTGTATGGAAAAACTGCGTGACACCGTCAACAAGAAAAATTGCAAAAATGGACGCGATTTTTTTGCAACTTTAAACTTGCATATTGTTACACTAAAATTTGATGGGCTACAAAACTGCATACTCAAAATCCTTCTAGAAAATCTAGTTGAAAATTTGTATGCAAGTTTATTAAATGATGATCCTGAGTTTTGCACAAGGTTTAGAAGTTTTATTTTTATAGCTTTGTTGTATTATAAACTACATTTTTGTAAAAAATTTGAGAAAAAATAACATAAAAAACTTTCCAAACACTACGAAAAATTCTCTATACGAAGGCTTTAGGGATACACGGTACTTGTTCAATTAGCATTTGTCTTACCCTAATTTGTAACATGTCTTCTTCATGTCTTTTCTTCTTCATTTTGTGGAAATTTTATCTCGTCCCTTTTTGCTGCAATAATTAGTTTGGAAATGTGATGCAGGGATCGAGATATTGTCGATTGGCTCATTGATAAGGTATAATTATTTCCAACACATTTCTGATATGAACCGTGTGCAATAAATATATAGACGCGAGGAAACGAAGAGTGAACGGAACGGTGGACTTTTGAGTATCAAGCGGTTCCAATTCACGTATCAGATCCTGGCAGAGATTTTTGGGAAAAGGAAAGTTTCTTATGAAGACCGCCTCTGGAATAGCAAACGGATCGCTATCATCGCGCAACGCTCTCAAAATTCTTCTACGTTCCAGATTTAACTCTCGTTTTGCTAAAATAGCAGCGCACACATGCAGCATTTTCAGATAGAAATGTTTAAAAAGAGAAAAAATCAAATCCAAAAAATTTCGTTTCGTTTATATTAACATTTTAATTTGTGACCTGATGGTTTGATGCTCACAATTTTTCTCTCAAATGTGATGGTTTGAGCTTATGAGCTTTTGTAAGAATACGAAGATACGCCAATTGTGATAAGACTCTCAATTGTGACTGAGGTGAATTTTGTGATCTCGTTAAAATAAGGCTGTAAGTCTAATTGTACTAATTTTAAATAAAGAATAAAGAATGAAAGAATGAATATTGTACATTTTCTTTGACCACTCGGGAAAAATATTTAAAATTTTGTCTAATTTTAGCAAATTCAAATGATGAAATGCTGCTTATATATCCATGTTATGTATTTTCTTAGTGATTTTACTTAATTTCCCCGTATTTTTTATACAGTAAATTACCACCACTTCCGTGTCACTGAAATTTTATAAAATGGTATACTTTTAAAATACATTATAGAAATATTTTTAAACGTTTTCGATTTTGAAATTTATGGGTCGATTATCGATAGCAATCGAACTTCAGTTGCGTTGCTAGTTGCCAAAACGATATTACAGATGGCAATTGGCAAGTTTCAACTGCGAACACTGATTTCAAATTATTTCCTTTATCAACTGAAGCTTCTCTTTTAAAGCTACCGACACACCAAGTTTTCCAAAGTAAAATCATTGCTGTGGCACTTCCTTCTGCGAAAAATTGAAGAGGTGCGCAAGCTTTTATCAGCGGAGGTATTGAAGTTGAACGAAGTGGTTCATCTGTTTATTAACCAATTATCTTACAGCTTCTTTTGGAAGTCCTCAATATGCTTTGAAAATGAACACAAAACGATAATAAAAGAAAAACCTTGAAAGCATTAACTTTTGCTTACAGTGCACGCGGTAGCTCTAGAGGATTGGAATTATCTTTTAAATGTCGCCTGATTTAGTCCGCGTTCATGCACTTCTCTTCCTCTTAAACAAATAATTGTGATGGATTTAGCTTTATTGCTGTCGTTTTCTTTAAAACTCTTCATTTTAATAATTTAATTTTATTCGCACAGCTTGTTTACAGCCGCTTGCGGGTTGTTGGATTGTCAAATTTCAATTATAGATAACACTACAGCAACTGGCGATAGTTGCCATTCGTAATACAATGTTTTTTCCAGTTGCGTTGGCAGCTGGCAACCGAACCGTGGTTACGTTGCTATCCATAATCGATCCATTACGTAAACTATTCGGGACAGTTCAAATCTTCATACAGTTTAATTTGTTTTCAAAAATATTAATAGCATTTTTGGTAGCATGCTTCCAATGTATCAAAAAATTAGATGTACAATATATTGTACAAATGCACGGAAAGGGTTAAAAGCCCAGCTAAGAACCATTTGGCACACGTTTTTCAAAAGTGATACAACTCAAAATTACACGTTGGTCAGAAAATGCGAAAAGAGAGCACACTCACACAAACGCATAAATTGCCCATATTTCACCACAGATACAACAATAATACTTATATAGACATATATGTCAAAATATCGCTAAATATATCACTAAAAACTTATATATTTTATCTATTAAAAAGTAAACAATTTTGGTGTGCTCAATGCAAACTTCACCTACTGATGTGCGGTATTGCCACTCTCTAGCACTCCGAATGAATACAATTACCCAACGTCTACACCTACCAATTATTTCCGTCTGCCTTTAAGAATGTGTGTGCTCCTAGGAACCCCTTGGGAAAATGGCCAAAAATCAAAATTTTTACTTGCGTCCACAGTATTTTTGTGTAGAATTCCTTTCTGCGTAGGCGGCCTTGGGTAGCAGGAGGTGAGGGAACGTTATCACTGGCATATGAGAAAACCACTATGTCCACCTCAACAACGACCGTATAAAATTTAGTTTTCTTTGGTTAAAATGTCATTTTGCTTAGCAATTGCAACATCGCACAAGCTATTTGTCGGAGTAATATGCCCTGGTATGTATTCATCAATGGTTGAAAGCACACGCGTTTCTACCTGTAGTTTTCAGCTGTAAATAGAATTTTTTTCAATTATTTCTATAACAGCATCTTTTTTATTTATTTGTTTATAGCAACTGTTTAATGTATTTTTGTTATCGTAAGTATTATTTATAAAGACAAATCAAAACCATAAAATATGTGACCAGATTTAAATAATAAAATGATCACGTTTATGAAATATTTATATATGTATATTAGCGTGTGCCGAAAATCCGCTTTTTTAGAATTTTAATTGGTAATAGCAAAAATATGATTCATTATGCTTTAAAAAAAATCTGTGTGAAATTTCGAATTTTTTGCTCAAAAAATAAAAATTAATAAATAATACTTTTTAACTAAAATAGTTAATACTTTTTTACTAAAACTGCAAATATCTTCGAAAGTATTAGTCCTACATAATTTGGTATATGGACCTTTTTTGTAAAGAACCGAAGTTAGCTAAAAAAAAAATTTTTTTAGTACTTGAACTTTGGTGGACATGGGCGAGCCTAGGATATTGACCAAAATTTTTCACATTTCACACAGATTTATTTTAGAACATAATGAACCATATTTTTGCTATTACCAATCAAAATTCAAAAAAAGCGGATTTTCGGCCCACGCTAATGTATATGCATGTGTACAAAAATATGAACCTAAATAAGTGTGTCTGTATAGGCCGTTTACAATTTAAAGCAGACACTCGTTTTTATGCATAATAAATTGCTGTATTCGTATTACAAATATCAAATGTAGGTTTTCATTTTCGGCGTACTCTTGTCCCAAATTACTTCTGCGAAAGCATATCTTATGTCTATTTTTCCTCTATGTTTATTTAAAACTATCTGATGAACATATATTACTTATGGGAGGGTAACTCCATAATATAGCTAAGAAAATTTATATTTATAATATTGATTTGTTGTATCCTTAGTTATTAAGAGAAACATAGCAAAAATCATACAACTTGAAATAGAAATTTCTTAAATGAGTTATTCCCCCCAGTCGTTTTTTATGCTTAGCGCAGAATGCGTCTCCGTCGTACTTTCGTCAATGCTATGCAGAGAATCACAATCATTAATAAATTCAACATGTGTGAACGGGAAGTGGCCTTTTTTGCCTTTAAGTTCTCCCTCCCACTGACCGTTTATGTTCGTTTTTGTTACTCTAATTACATCGCCAATCTCCAGTTTCAACGCTGTTTTGTCATATGCATTGGGTACACGTGCCTGTTTCACGCGTGCGTACGCTGGTAATTTGCGCTGGAAAATTAAAAAAAAAACATATAAAATTAAGTTGATATAATTATACTGTTGATAACTTACATTCAGGTCGGATTTTTTGAGCGAATTGCTCAATTGGTGACAATTCGTAGTAGAATGTTCTGTGGCATCACTTTTGCAAGTACCGCTTGTCAGCAATGGCGAACGAAGACTATTGCTAGGTCCCAAAGCATTACCGCAATCGCTTACACCGGACAAGGGTCGATCAATGCAGTTGTCATCTGAATTTCCTTCGCACTAAAGGAATATACAGTACAATTCAAAATTTGATTAAAAAGTATAAAAAATTAAGCCACACATCGGAAGTGAAAATTCTCTCGATTTATTTCTTAGTCGCTTCAAACAGAAGTACTTTGTATATCTATTTGAATGACTACGCTACATGTGAATTTTGTATTGGTTTGAGATAATAGCAATTGAACTACACTGCAAGAGGGCTGGCTACCAGTATTTGTATTTGATGATACCAATTCATACAAAATAATAAATTACGAATCACATATTTTATTCATATTATAGAAATGGTACAGTTTTTTTTTGTAACTGAAATTAATATATGCAAATCTAATTTCTTTAAATACCTGACTGAATAGCTTTAAAACATACTGCTGTCGATTCTTTTAGGAGATCATTAACTGATTGTTATTTACAGTGAACCACAAAAGTCTAGGCGCAGAGAATTGTTCACAATGTATGAAAGTTTATTTTTTTTTCGCTTGCTCATACAAAAAAAACCTCAAAATACAATTTCTAAACTTTATGAAAAACTAAGGAAAATTTAATACATTTTCAAATTTACCCGTTGATTTCTGACAAATTTTTTGCTATTACTGCCGGGACCCGTACTAAATATGTGCCGAGCCCTTCCTCCAACATAATTTTTAGACGAATTTACAACGTTCTACAACTACATAACGGATGCTTTTGAAAAATAAGTAGTCTTGCATACCTTTATTAACGTATGGAGTTTTATTTTTTTTTATTAAAAAACTTCCACTAAAGAGGAAATTGTTTTTGCTTTACTTTTGTACAGATCAAAAATGAGTAAGATAGTTTTTATTGTTTTAATCAAAATGCTTTATGAAACTTAATGAGAATGTAATGTGATAGGTAAAAACGCTTTTCCAAATTGTGAATATTGAATAACTAAATTTATGAACTTAGCAATACTCAAAATAACTGAGGCAATAAGGTCCTCATCAAGTTGCTAGCCGGCAGCACCTGGGTCAAAGACAAAGAAACGTTTTTGACAACGTACGTACAAGGCAAATGGCCGGCATGCCAGAACACGGCACTCTGGACCGCGACTGGATACCTTCTGATGTCGGCACATTACCACCTTCACGACGTTGCTTCCCATCAATGAGCAGAACACAATGCTCTGTAAGCAGTTCCTATTATTATTACTGCTTGCAGCAGAGCCCAAGTTAGGAGGCATTTGTACTGATGGACGAAGTCCAAAGGTTCATAAAACAACCTCTGAACCCGACAGCATACCGACAGGGAGTCGGTCTCGAATTACATCGACTCCCGACCTGTGAATGCCGTTTCGAATACACAACCAGCCAGCGCACAGTGGTTCTAAATAAACAGAAAACGGAAAAAAAGCAATATCTCAGTTAGCCCAATAAAGCTTAAAATTGGCATGCTGAAACTTAATGTACCATTCCATAGGAATTAAAAAAATACATAAAAAATTGGAAAACCAAAATGGCTGATCAAAATTTCCATAAAAAAGTCTATCTAAAACAAGTAAGAAATTTTTCAGTTGAATTACATTTTATAATCGTTCTATATGTAAATCCTGCATTAAAACTGATATTCCAGTTTTCAACCTATTATGTCCAATGGGTATCTTTCCGTAACAGTTACGGGGAAAACAATAAAACTAAAATTCTAATTAAATTTTTTTTTTCTGTTATTCATCTCTTTTTTGAGCAAGATCTTTACATCTTCACTCAAAATAAGAAATTTGTTTGTGGTGTTGCTCGCAACTTGTTAGTGTATAGGTCGAATGCAGCATCATATGCATAACATCTATAACACCTTCACTAAGGCACCTACAGAAAATGCACAATTCTACAGCATTTGCTTACCATGCAATAATACCTTATGCACGAGTGATGGCATATTGTACCATCCTTAACTCGCTACTAACATTTCTGCTGTGTGATACGCATAGTTGCGAAATTTGTAACTATATATAGGTTCTGCTTCCTGTTATTGCTTCCGCATTGCACATTTAGTGATATTTCAATTAAAAAATTCCTTTAAGCCTGCCTTGATAACCCTAATGAAAGTTGCTGAGAAGATAATCCACACGGCTGAGACGTTGGGCTTGTTCGAGTTGCAATCACAACCGCAGTGTTGCGCGACTTATTAAAGTATCACGTTCTGTGTGAATTCTAGCAATGTATTATCAGTTGGGCAGTTGCAACAATGTTGCCTTTTTTCATCAGTACGCCAGTATTGCCGCTTTTATTACGTGCCTCGAACGGGCCCGTTTTTTTTTTTTTGTTTTAACGAGGAAGCATCGAAAGCCTGTTAAGTGTTGGACTTTAACCCGAACTAAACCTCCTACCGTCCAGTACCGAACCCCCAGGTACTACCGTTAAGTATTTAGTCGGGAGGTGGGTTGAGCACTGAGCTCTAAGTCCTTAAGCAGTTCGTCGAAGGTCGCATATACTTGGCACCGCCCACTGTTAGTATGTTCTTATATACCACCCCATGTCGGACCTGTTCGCCCCTTCCCCCCTCATTTGTTAATGTCCTCTCAAGCGTCCGTTTCTACGTATGGCGTTGTTGTTGTTGTGGTAGCGGTTACCAAGCCCCGCTCGGGTCGGTTCATCCGTCAACGTTGTCGTCTGTTTCAGCTAATGGGAGACCCAGTAAGTTTGCAACTTCCACAGGGTCTGTCCATAAGGACAGGGGCGTCAGCTGGGTGGGGTTCTCAGGGCATGTGAAGTGGTGCCGAGAGTCATGTGGCGACTCTCCACATGCCGGGCATTGGTTGGGCACAACCTCATTAATTCTGCTCAGGTATGAGTTGAGCCTGCTGCAATAGCTAGAGAGAAGTTGGGATATTGTGGTGCAGGTCTCCCCAGGAAGATAAAGCTCTGTCCCGTCCACGTCCGGTGGTTGTGTGCCTAGAACGGCATTCACAGGGCGGGAGTCTACATAACTCGAGACTGTTTCCCTGTGAATGCCGCTCAGGGCCTGTCGGTAGGATGACGCGTCCAGAGGTTGTTTAATGAACCTCTGGACTTCGTCCGTCAGTTCGTAAAGATGCCTCCTGACGTGGCTTGGCTAGGGCTTTTCTGCAAGCAGCTGTTTGCTGGGAGCTGTAGCTTCATCCACTGCGTCCTGCTAGTCCCCGGCGACCACACGGGCGCTGCATAGTTTAGAACCGGCCGGCCAATTGCCTTGTATGTTGCCAACGTTTCTTCATCTTTGGCCCAAGTGCTGCCGGCCAGCGACTTGAGGACATTGTTGCGGCTCTGTACTTTATTGGCAATTGCGGTTGTATGCTCCGAGAAGGAGAGCAGACTGTCGAAGGTAACTCCGAGAATTTTCGGGTTATTCACCGGTATTGTTATTCCATCAACGTGAATACCCAATAGCAGTCGGACCTCCTTCGTCGAGGTGGTGAATAGGGTTGCCGAGGATTTCACAGTGGATAGGGCAAGGCTCCTTGCAGTGAAGAAGCGAGAAATTTCGGCGAGATAACCCTTTACTTTCGAGCACAGGTCATCAATTCCATTCCCGTCAGCATAAGAGGCAATATTGACAACCTCTGGTGGCTGAGGATGCTTAGAAATGTAATAATTAAACAGTAGTGGGGACAGGACACCACCCTGTGGTACCTCCTGTTTAATTTTACGTGCCTTGCTGGTTTTATCTCTGAAAATTACTGACGAACGTCGACCACTCAGGTAATTCGCCGACCACCGTTTGAGTCCCTGTGGGAGAGAGGAGGCCTCTATGTCTTCTAGCAGCGTTGAATGACTGACAGTGTCGAACGCCTTGGACAGGTCCAACGCTACTAGAATAGTTCTCTCACAGAGGCGGTTTCTGTTAAGGCCACGAGTTATCTGGGTGTTTATGGCGTTAAGTGCTGTTGTTGTGCTATGCACTTTACGGAACCCATGCTGATGCTTCGCTGTGGTCAGGTGGTTCGTGAAATATGGGTAGCAAGGCGTCAAGTGTCCTCGCTACCGGGGAAAGGAGGGTTATCGGGCGATAAGACTCTTTTTTGTTGGCTGGTTTCCCCGGTTTGAGCAGTGGGACCACTCTCCCCATCTTTCATATGTCCGGAATGACGAGAGTGGCCATAGACAAGTTGAAGACCTCCGTTAGGTACGCTACTCCCGCAGGACCCAAATTTAACAGCATCAACATGCATATTCCGTCGGGTCCAATGGCTTTGGAGGCTTTCGCCTTCCCGATGGCTACCCTTACCTCACCGCTGGTGAAAACAAGAGGCGCACTAAGTTTTGGCATTTTGTGCGGCCTTCTGGTCACTCGACGTTTGGCTTTATCCACCGGAGGATGCAGAATAAACTGCCGGCTAAAATAGCTCGCGCGTCGCTCCGAGTCGGACGAAGCGTAGTCACCAAAGTCTATTTCGACTCTGTCGTCACGCTTCGTCGGGTTGGACAACGACCGCACGGTTGACTAAAGCTTACTCACACCAGAGGCGAAGTGGCAGGTCTTCAGATGCTCTTCCCATTTCTTCCGCCTAACCGGATAGCAATACCCTGACATTCTACGATGGTATCCCTGCGGTCGATGTCTGCTTCAATAAGACGATACTGCAAGGTGTGGTGCGTGATGAACGCTAAGCCTCCACCATTGTCTCGCTCGCGATCTCGACGGTGCATGTTACATCCGGCGCAATTCAACAGGGTTGAATTGCCGTGCAGCTTCTTCTCTTGGACCTCAGCTATTAATATTCCATGCCTTCCCATAAAGACAGTTATCTCCTCGATCTTGACCTGAAGTCCGTTACTGTAGAATTGTAGCACCTTTGTGTGCCTTGGGAGACCAATTGTAATGTGTGGTATTAGGGAGTTGTGTTGCCTGCCGGCGCCCTGCTGTACGTGCTGCAAAAGGGGGTGCTGCCTTCTGGTGGTGGTTGGCGGCGTCGCGGGGGAGGGATGCGACTGGGCAGCACAGCAGCGGCCCACATAGTCACTCGTCCAATCACGTGTGTTGCGAAGTCCTGAGCATGCAGTAAA